AGTCTCGTTTGATTTTTATTTTAAATTTTTTTAAATTTTTGTAAGAAAAAAAATGTAATGATTATGATGTTGATGTCACATTTTAACCCTGTTTGGTAAAACTGTGGGAAAATGCTTATAACTTATGCCTTAACAACTTATAGCTTATAAGTATGAACATAAGCTGATTTCTGACTTATAAATTAAGCATCTCCTGCCTCACTCAAAGAATAAACTGATTTTTGATTTACACAAAGCTATAAGCTGTATTGTTAAGCTAAACCAAACACATCAAAATAGTTTAAATTAAGCTGAAAACAAAAATAAGCCACTTTTAAACTGCACCAAACAGACACTTTATCTTATTGATTTATGTAGTCAATTTTATCTTTTGTATTTTTTTTAGTAAAAAAACCAAAACCAAAACCAAACATAGCTTTAGTTTATAATTATTTTACTTTTTCTTTTACAATCATAAAATTTATTACAAAAAAAAATAAAATCAACCACCTTTCTAAACATAATTATTTTAGTCAAGATAAAATATTCAAAAAGTTAACTAAAATAATCAACTTCCAAATTAAAATTTATTTCACTTACTTCTTTAAATTTCAAACCTCAACAGTCAATTATTTTAAACTATTATCTCGTTACATCTATCATTTTCTATTAAGATTCCATTAGAAATTTAAACAGAATAAGGTCATAAAAAACATAACACACTTATTGATTTTTTAAGATAACAATACACATTATCTAATGATCATATTTGGATTTTATCTCTTTTAACTTAATAAAAAATCACAAACATAGTCATTAAATAAGAACATTATTGATGTATAAATTTAATAAATGTATTATATATTTTACACTGAAATAGGTTGTTTTAAATTTTTTTATAAAAAAATAATTTAATAACTTATAATAATTTTTTAATTTTTTAATTAAAATATCTAGTCTTTAATGGATTGTTTGGCAATGACTTTTTTAGTTAATTTTTTAACTTTTTTGACTATTTTAACCTGGGACTTTTTTGATTGTTTGGTTTTCTTATTTGGATTTTTTCATTTTTTAGCTTTGAAATGATAAATTTTTTTGATCCTTTTGTGATTCTTTAATTTTTTTTTATCATTTTATGATTTTTTAGCCTAGAATGATAACTAAACAAGCACTAAATGAGCCCTTAATTTAATTTTTGATTGTTGTTAACTGTTAAATCTTAAAGTTGAAAGTGACAAAATATGGGTTACACTTTTTAACGGTGAATCGGACGGTCTTGATCAAATTTTGCTTATCTCGGTGAATGTATAGCCTAGGGGTAGGCGCGGGTCAGTTGTGGCCACAAAATCTCCAATCCACCATCCGTCTACCAGATTAGCGGATTAGAAAAAATCAATCCGCATCCGTCCACCAATCCGACAGATGTGGATTGAGAGGATTGGCAGTTTGGTGGATGGATGCGAATTAGTTTGGCGGTTTAAAATTTTATAAATTTTCAATATAATTCAACTAGTGCACTTCCTCAAAAAAAAAAGAGAAGAAAGTATTGCAGTCAATGATTTAAAAAAATATTACAATCACTGCATATCTCATCCAAAGTAAGAAAGTTTAAAACTTTAGAATTTCACAATTACAGCATGCCTCATCCACATAAAGTATTACAATATGTGATTCTTAAAATATAAAAGCAATTAAAACCACCAAAACGATAAGTAGAGCAGTAGTAGAGATTGTATGTCTCTACATTGTTACATCTATCTCTGTTTTTGAAAACAAAAACCAACCAGCATATATCATATTTTATATTTATTATTTTTACAAATAGATTTAAAAACCAAAAAATATAGATAAATAATACGTTTATTTTTTTTTTCAATTCAAAAAAGATATTCAAGTTAAAATTTTGTTTTCAATACAATATTTAAACTCTTTTTTAATTGAAAACACAAATAGAATATTTAAACAAACTGAAAACACAAAGTCTTATAAACTAGTAGGAGTGCTTGCGGTTTGGCGGTTCGGTTGCGGCTGAAAGAATCTCAAATCCGCCATCCGTCCGCCAGATTGGCAGATTGAAGAAAATCAATCCGCAACGGTCCGCTCGTCATCACGCATCCGTCCAAAATGTGGCGGATCTGTTTAGTTCGATCGATTTTGACAAATCGATATATCCGCTGCTCACCCCTAGTATAGCGGTATATCCAATAACTATTCAAGTATCCAATAACTATTCAAGTAATGAAAACAAACAATAACACATGATTGGATTGGATTGGATGTTCATGATTCAAATGATTAATTAACGTTCACATCAGATCATTCCTCATTTTTCTACTCAACAAAACTGATGGTCCCAGTCCAATCAGATCCGTCAGATCCAGCCGTGCAATGTGAATCATGAGATTCCCTTACACAATTTTCTTATATAATAATCGCATTGTAACATAACCTTAATTTCAATTTATCACTGTAAATTAATATCTATCTCGCGATATATATATATATATTTTTAATTCAATTACAATTTAACCCCTTTATGGTTCGTTTGGGGAGTGGATTTATTTTTTGAATTTTTAGTTTTTTAACTATTTTAGTCTGAGATTGAAAAGTTTCGTTTGAAAATGACTTTTTGATTTTTTTGTAAGAGAAATAATATAATAATTGTAATTTTGTAGCTCAAATAACTCAAAATCTAACCCAACCCATCTTCCCAAACAAAGCCTATATTTGGTATTTTCCTCAGTTTGATTCTTGAATAAATTTTTTTTTTCATTTTGACTATTTATGTTTTAATTTTTTTCATTGTGCTCTTAAAAATAACTTTCATTCAAAATTAAATAAAAAATAATATATTAATTGATATATAACATAAAAAATAATAATAATTGTAATTTTGTGTCTCAAATAACCCAAAATCTAACCCAACCCATCTTCCCAAACAAAGCCTATATTTGGTATTTTCCTCAGTTTGATTCTTGAATAAATTTTTTTTTTCATTTTGACTATTTATGTTTTAATTTTTTTCATTGTGCTCTTAAAAATAACTTTCATTCAAAATTAAATAAAAAATAATATATTAATTGATATATAACATAAAAAATATATTATTATATTAAGGAGTTATTTGGGATGATTTAAATAAGTGCACTTTTTATTTTTTTACGAAAAGATGTGTAGAAAAGTAGAGAGGTGATGTGATGAAAAAAAGATAAAAAGATAAAAAGATGAATTATTTGCAACTTTCTAAACTTGGCCTAAAATTTATATTTGTGTCAGAAGTATGAATTATATAAAATAAAATATTTTATGTCATATGATTTTCAATGTGCTATTTTGTATTTAATTTTGAATAAGTTTACTTATGGAGTAAATTAAAAAAAAAAAACGAAACATGCATGGCTAAAAAAAACTTTAACAGTCGAAGAAAAAAAAAATGTTAGGGACATAAAATAAAATTGTCTACTAAGCAACACTCAAATAAGTGTTTGATGGAAATTTTGATAAAAAATTTAATACCTCTGAGATTTTTGAAAAAATAAGCAAATGGAAGGAGTAAAATGTAACCTTTGTTTGGGATTTTTTTTAAAACTTATTTTTTGACTATTTAATTATTTTAGCTTGATTAAAAAAACTGTGTTTGAGATGATAATTGATTTTTTTTATAATTGATTTGATAATTGTGAAGACAATTATGATTTATCTATAATAATTTATCTTATTAACTAAAATATCAGATTTTATTTTTATTGACCAAAAGGTTGTTTGAGAAGTACTAAATTAGTATCCTTTTCAACTTTTTATAAAAAAATATAAAATGTGAGTTGAGATTGAAATGATATAATAGTGTGGTGATATAATCTAAATAAGAGATAATATAACTCAAATAAAATAATTATAATCCAAATAAAATAAAATACTATAATAGTATATACTATTTTAATACATATCGAGTTCTAAATTAGTCTCAACTTTGCATGCCAAACGACACTTTGCCTTCGTTTGACATAAGCTGAAATGATTTTTTTTAGCTAAAATAATCACAAAAAGATAAAATAAATTTTTTAGTCCAATGAGATAAAATGTCGTATTTAAATCATAATTATTTCATTTTTTCTCTCATAAAAGTTAAAAGAGTCAAAAAAAACCTATTCAAACGAAATTTTTTAACCCTATACTAAAATAATTAAAAATTAAAATACCAACTTGCATCCCAAATGAACCCTTGAACCCTTAGGCTCCGTTTGGCAAGAGTGTTTTTGGTTATTTTAGTAACAAAAGACAAAATAGGCTATTTTAGTTACAACAAACAAAATATCATATTCAACTTATAATTATTACACTCTTCTTTCACAAAAAAAGTCAAAAAATTAAAAAATTCTTTTCAAATCAAATTTTTTAATTCAAACTAAAATAATAAAAAAAAATCAAAAAATTAAAAAACTAACCCGCTTTGGCTTACTATGCCTGTGTTTGGCAAGTGGGTTTGCAGGTTTTTTTGGCTATTTTAGCCACAAAAAACAAAATAAGCTATTTTAACCATAACAAACAAAACATCACATCAAACCCATAATCATTACATTCTTCTCTCACAAAAAAACTCAAAAAAGTCAAAAAGTCAAAAAACCCTTTCCAAACCAAGCTTTTAACCCCAGGTTAAAATAGTCAAAAAAGTCAAAAAAATTAAAAAACCAACCCAATTTCAAAACGGAGGCTATATTAATTTTCGCATATAGCATTTTAACCTAACCCCTTAGATTTGTACTTATCACCGTAATTTCTATCTCGCAATTTCAATTTCTCGCAATGGCTGCGTTGGGCTTAGAGAGACACTCACATTATATGTACTAGAACCCGTTTTCTGCGGTTGCGCTTCGTCGCAAACGGATAAGATTGGCTTGTCTACTGGACTCTCCACCGTCGATCCAACGGTTCACAATTTTAACTTCACACGTGTCATTCCTTTAAACATCGATTACAATTATTACACAAGACGATTTAACATCACGATCTCTCACATAAAAACCCTTATCATATCAACTCAACAGCACTCATCATACCACTTTCTCTCTCTTCTGCAACTAAGACCTTGGATCTAAGTTCGTTAATGGCGTCTCAGATCTGAGAAAAGACAGTCACTGTTCAAGATTTACTGTTTTGACCTTCGTACTTGGAAGATTTGAATCAGCAATGGCGTACTCGTTTCCTGAGGAGGTGTTAGAGCATGTGTTCTCGTTCATACAGTGCGATAAGGACCGAAACGCGGTGTCTTTGGTGTGCAAGTCGTGGTACGATATAGAGCGGTGGTGTAGGAGAAGGGTTTTTGTGGGGAACTGTTACGCTGTGAGCCCTAAGATCATGATCAGACGCTTCCCGGAGGTCAGATCTGTGGAGCTCAAAGGGAAGCCTCATTTTGCGGACTATAATCTAGTGCCGGAGGGTTGGGGAGGGTATGTGTACCCTTGGATCGTAGCCATGGCTAGGGCTTACCCTTGGTTGGAGGAGATTAAGCTCAAACGCATGGTTGTGACTGACGAGTCCTTGGAGTTGATCTCGAAATCGTTCAACAACTTCAAGGTGCTTGTTTTTTCTTCGTGTGAGGGGTTTACTACTGATGGATTGGCCGCCATTGCTGCTAATTGCAGGTGAGCTTTGTTTATGTGTATTTTGGCATATGTCTGTTTGGTTGCTGAGAAAATTTTGGAAAATAGAAGCAGAGAAAGTTTAGATTTTAAATCTGATGATGTATTTTTCGTTGCTTTTTAAGCTTTTCGGTGAACTGAGGAAAACTGAGAAAATAAAGTTTGAATCTTTAGTGTCTGGTTGAATCTTCGTTCCCGCTGGATTGTCTGGATTCCTTTTTTTTTTTTTTATCTTGTATTTCTCTTTCTTAATGTATATTTCATAACTTCCTATATCCTTCATTGCTGATAAATTTAGAAATTGAAGAGAAAATAGATTCTCTTAGACCAAAGATTTAAGATTCAAACTCTGTTTCTTTGATTACACACGTTTTCTCAGCAACCAAGCGGGTCATTCTTAGATTTTGGGCGTAGGTTCTGTTTTCCAAGTATTGTTTGTTTTTCAGGTTGAGTCCTTATCATTTCTATGTATTTTTGTATGATTTCTTTGTTTAGATAGTTTGAATTCAGCTAATTTTTTATTTGGGTATTGTTTCTTGCTTTCGTTTGTTCTTTTTTCTCTTATTTTATGTTCTGAAAAGATGAATGCTATTATTTCTTCACCAAGGTTTTAAATTTTTGGTCAATATCTGCCGTCTGAAGGGTGTTCCCCTTTTGATTTTTTTATGGGCTATTGCAAATTAGGGTTGTTTCAGATTTTGAGTTTTTACTTCTTGGACAATGTAGGTGCTTTCCAATTCTGTGTAAGTTTGGTTTTCTCCTTATTTTACATTTGAGAAATCTACTCACCCAAATTTTTTGTCAAGAAATCTACCCAAAAAGGAAAATTGTGTTTGAGATTTAGTTGGTGTATTGTAGGGTCCATGCATGGAATGAATCTGGATTTTAATGTTTTTGGGTAAAATTCTGGATATAAATTTTGGGTGTGTAATATTAGTGTTCTGCATTGTTATAGTAAAAATGAATGGATCTTGTTTCTTTTTATTTATTTATTTTATAGTAATTATTTAGTTGTTACTTAAAGATTCTTTTGAATTGAGTTTTTGGTGGTTCAGTTGTGGTCCTTGGGCAGAACTGAAACTCTTTTATGTTGTTCTATGCTATGTTGGGATATTGTATTGTGAGGTGGGGTGTAAACTGTGTCTCTGTGAAAAATGGTTAATTGAAAATATCAAACAAGTGGAGAATAAATGACTTCCTTTCCTTTAATTGCTGCTATCTGAAAAAGTTATTCTTGACAAGGACTGTGTTGTGTTTTTCCTTAGCAGTCACAACAATAATTGCTAAATTTTTAATACTAATAAAAAAATGTTACATTTTTCTTCAAAACTTGTTTGGTTAATTACTTTGATTGGAAAACATGTTAATTTAATTATTGTAACCCTGTCATTATAGTGTCTCCACTTTGCAAATTTGACCCATTGTGCGCTTTCACAGGAATCTAAGAGAGCTGGATTTGCAAGAGTGTGAAGTGGATGATTTGAGTGGGCATTGGCTCAGCCATTTTCCTGATACCTGTACACTTGTATCCCTTAACATAGCTTGCTTAGGCTCTGAGGTAAGTTTGTCTGCTGCCCTGGAGCGCCTTGTGGCTAGGTGTCCCAACCTGAGATGTCTCCGTCTCAACCGTGCTGTATCCCTTGAGAGGCTCCCAAATCTACTCCGTCAGGCCCCTCAGCTGATTGAGTTGGGGACGGGTGCCTACTCAGCTGAGCTCCCCTCCGACGTCTTTTCAAGCCTAGTGGAGGCTTTTTCAGGCTGCAAGGAGCTCAAGAGCTTATCTGGGTTCTGGGATGTGGTTCCAGCTTACCTTCCAGCTGTCTTTCCCATCTGCTCTGGGCTTACTTCTCTGAACCTAAGCTATGCCAATATCCAAAGCCCTGATCTTCTCAAACTTGTTAGCCACTGTCATAGCTTGCAGCGCCTATGGGTATGCCTCTATTCTTCCACTATTGCTAATTCATTATATGCTGATAATCTTTTTGATGATTGCTAAACAAAAAAAAAAAGAGATTAATTTCTTCTATTTTTTTTATCAAAATGCTTTCTAGATATGGGGCTTTCAGATAATCCATTAGTTGCCCCCTAACAGCAAATAAACCAACCTGGAATATGATTAATAAAAGTTGGATGATCGTTTGATTTGAGGCCATTTGGTTTGGCTTAATGACTTGGCCCAAATCTTGTTAAAGTGAGATGGCATGGACATTTTCTGGATATCAAGATTCCCTATCACCCAGCTATAATGTGTTTTGTCATCTGTAATCCTTTGCAACACTTGCTACTAATTGTTTGTTTTCCCTACCAGAAATCATCTCTCTCATTTTAGAAAATGTTGCTTTTAGTTCATTATCAGATGCAAGTCTTTTGCAATTACATTACATTCTTGAACTAATAGAGGCATAACTACAGGTACTGGATTACATTGAAGACACTGGCCTTGATGCCCTCGCTGCATCTTGCAAGGATCTGCAAGAACTGAGGGTGTTTCCATCTGATCCATATGGGCCAGAACCAAATGTATCGTTGACAGAGCAAGGCCTTCTCTCTGTTTCAGAGGGCTGCCCTAAGCTCGAGTCAGTTCTGTACTTCTGCCGCCAAATGTCAAATGCCGCATTAATTGCCATTGCTCAGAACTGTCCAAACCTGACTCGTTTTCGTCTCTGCATCCTTGAGCCTCACACAACCGATTACATAACCCGGCAGCCACTGGATACTGGTTTTGGAGCAATTGTTCAGAACTGTAAGGAGTTGCGGCGCCTATCGCTATCTGGTCTTCTCACCGATCGCGTGTTTGAGTATATTGGGACTCATGCGAAGAAACTAGAGATGCTTTCTATTGCTTTTGCGGGGGATAGTGATTTGGGACTTCATCACGTGCTGTCTGGGTGTGAAAGCCTAAAGAAACTGGAAATTCGAGATTGCCCCTTTGGAGACAAGGCTCTTTTGGCCAATGCTGCAAAGCTGGAGACAATGCGATCCCTTTGGATGTCTTCTTGCCCAATTAGTTTTGAAGCGTGTAAGCTACTAGGTCAGAAGCTGCCGCGGCTTAACGTCGAAGTTATTGATGAGAGGGGACCCCCGCATTCAAGGCCTGCAAGCTGTCCTGTGGACAAGCTTTACGTATATAGGACAGTTGCAGGGCCAAGGCTTGATATGCCTGATTTTGTATGGATGATGGATGAAGAGCCGGCATTGAGATTTTCTTGAGAGATCTTGTCATGGGTAAAACATCCTTGGGTCTTCTTTATGCTTCTCCGCATTTTCATTTGTTTAATTTGTCAAAGCTTCATAAATAGTTGCAGTGCCAATCGAAGTGGGAACAGAGCTATTAGATGGGGGGTTTGGAGTGGCTCGACAGCTCTTATGCCATCTATTTTATGCTTGGCCGGTCTATTTGGTTTCAATTAATGATTAATAAAAGAAGAGGCTATACTCCTTTTGTTGTAATGTGTACTGAGTTTAGTGACTATAGATGTCACTAGGTTTGGCAAAGTCACCATGTATACTGTTTGTAGACTCTACTGCATGTTTATTATGCATTCATTTTATCTGTGTTGCCAAAATGTTTGTATTCTGGACTCATGATGTTAATCATTTGTTTGGATTAATAAATTTTATTTTGTCATACACCCGAGTCATGTTTCTTCTAAATTTGTCCTCGTTGTATCTTTATTTATCTCTCTAAATTTATAAGTTTGCAGTTGAAGGTTTTATGGAATTGGCGACACTGAGTGAGCAAATTCACTAAAGTTTTAACCTTTGATGTTTAGTAGGTACTGTTTTCTTGATCACATTTGGAAAGTGGGATTTTAGCCAAATTTGGGCTAAAGCATTGTTTGGCAAGTTGGTTTGTGATTAAAATAGTCACAAAAGGTAAAATATGTTATTTTAATCACAACAAATAAAACATCACATTTAACTCATAATCATTACATTCTTTTTTTACAAAAAAATTTAAAAAGTCCTTCTCAAACTAAATTTTTTAGCCCAGGTTAAAATAGCTAAAAAAGTTAAAAAATCAAAAAGCTAACTCATTTTCCAAACCGAGTATAAATAGGCTAAAATAGTTAGTAAGATAAAATGTCATAGGGGTGAGCATGGTCCGGATTGGGGTAAAATCATGACCAATCCGTTATTTACGGTTCTTGAAAAATTGAAACCAATCCAAACCGTTTAAATCCTGGAACAAATCCGAACCAATCTATTTAAATACGGATTGGATCGGTTTAGGATCACGGATTCACATAATTAAATAATAATATATATATATATATATATATAACACTTTAATTTCATAAAAACATAAACATAGCGCTATATTAGTTCCACAATAGCAATATGTTTTTCTGTAATAGCGACATACTGTTCTAGAATTTAAACAACCATAAGAAAATTGGTTTCACTATAAGTATTTAGACCATTACAAAGTAAAATTAAAAAGTAACAAACAAAAGTAATAAAAGAAGATATTATGCGGGTTTAGGTTGGAGTTTATGTTTTATATGGAATAAGAGAAGATACTATGGAGGAGGATGTATAATAAAAATATAGATTATTTGTATACAGTCCGGATCGGTTCCAATCTGGAACCGTGGGGTTCAATCTGGAACTAATCCGTGGATTACGGATTTTTAATTCTTCAATCCGGAACCGAATCACGGATTCAAAAAACCAATCCAAACCTATCAGATTGGACTAGACTGGATCGGATTACGGATTTCACGGATTCCTTACTCAGCCCTAAAATGTCACATTAAATTAATAATCATTTCATTTTTTCTCTTACAAATATTATATGCAACGACAAGAAAATCCAATCATCTTTTTAAACACAAAAATTTTTACCTATTAAAATAGTCAAAAAAATTAAAATAACTTGTTAAAATGACATCCTCACAACCACCCACATTGTCTAATGGTTGAGATTGTTTTGGTGCATGTTGCCAAAAAAAAAAAAAAACAAGGGTGAATTACATTAATGGTCCCTATAGTTTGAGATTTGTATCATTTTGGTCCCTGACTTTTTAATTGTGACAAATTTGATCCTGAATTTTGAATCTTGTTTCAAATAAGGACAATTGTAGATACTATTGGATTTTTCAAGAATAAAATTGTCAATTTGATAAAATATAAATTAATTTGACAAAAATAAATGTCAAAAAATTATTTCTAACTATTAAAGATAAAATTATAAAAAATTGATAAATCTTTTAGACATTTATTTTTTTTACCAAATTAATTTTTATTATGTATTTGGATATGATCATGTAAAATTAATTTTTTAAAATTAATCATGTAATTTTTATTAATTTTTATCAATTTTATATAATTTTATTTTTAGTGGATAGAAATAATTTTTAAAAAATTTTAATTTTTTTTTTAATATTTATTTTTATCAAATTAATTTATATTTTATCAAATTGACAATTTTATCCTTGAAATTAAGTAATGATATGTTCAATTATTCTTATTTAGAATAAAATTTAAAATTTAAGGTCATCACAATTAAAAAGTCAGAAATAAAGTGATATAAATACTAAATTATAAGAACTATTAACGTAATTTGTCTTAAAAAAAAAACAAAAACAAAACAAAAATTACTGTATATGAGAGAGAGAGAAGAATGACTTCTGCAGATGGCTGAGGGATAGAGAGAGAGGCCTCGACTGAAGAGCCACGTGAGAGATTCGGGGAAATGGAAGAGTGTCCACAACTTTTGCTACAATCGCGCTCAGCTTTCTACACCACCTGATGACCAGCCAGTGTGTACTTCCAACTTGAAGCCTTTGAATAATCATCAGATGCCCACACTGATTTTATTTATTAAAAACAAAAAACAAAAAACAAAAAATAAAAAACAAATAAAGAGGTGACAAGTTTGATGATACAGAGTTTCATACACTATTTGAATATATAGAAAAAAGAGTCATGGGAAGGACACAGAGACAATAACAGAACACGGACACCACCACAACCACCACCACCACCACACCCACAGGCGAGAGAGAGAGAGAGACTCAGTGCTCAATTATATATAAAAGTAGGTGAGAAAGCAAAGATATCTGCAATCTCTGCGTGCATTCTGCGAGTTGTTGTATAAATATAATCAAACACAATCTCACCATACGATTGATGTAATTATGAATTATGATTTACCATCATACATACGTACAAAGATATATATATATATATACATCTTCTCTATACCTTATGATTTTCTTGATGAATTCATCTGTGTGTTTTGGGTCCTGTTACTTACTGGGTCACCCAATTATGGCACACACTGAAGAAATAGTTTGATAGAAAACAGAGTCTGACCCACGTCTTTAACTGATCTCTCTGTCAATCTGGTTAAATTGATTCCATTCTATGCCCAAACACCATGACCCAATTGACATATGTTTGTCTCTTTTAATTTTTGGAATTAAAAGACTCTCTCGTGTTTATTTTGCTACTTTTGTTTTTGTTTTTATGGGCTCTGTAGTAAAGCTCTGATAAAATGGTAATGACATGAATGGTTTTTGTATTTTTGTTACCTCCAAGTTTAAAACGAATCGTCAGTACTTGATTTCGTTGACTTTAACGTGAATATAATCATTTTCATGCTCGAGTCAATGCATATACCAGCGTAAAACTGCCTGACCCAGATGTGGTAACCAATCCAATCAAATAATTGTTATAATTGATTCTTCATGACATGATTGCCAAAGGGTCCAGTCCCTTGTAGAAAGCTATGATCAACCTTCAGTTAACTGAAATGAAATGTAATTGTTACTCAGTAAAAGTGACAAATGGATAGATTTCGAGTCAAAATGGATCCGTCTATTTAATAAACCGATTTAAATAGGTTAAATTGAATTGACTATCAGTTGAAGAAATTAACCCAACTAATCTATTTATTTTATTAAACTCTTTTTTAATGGAAATGATCACCTATATCTAATTGAGAGGGTAATTTGTGTAGTCAAATTGGGCCGAGCTAGGTGGGAGTGGCGGTCAAAGATGTTTTTAGACCTAGCTACGAAACCGAGTTACGGGTTCTAGATACGGGACCAAGTTATGGGACCTAACTATGGGACCTAACTACGAGATCTAGCTACAGAACCAATCTGTTAGACCTAGCTACGAGTTCTAGCTACGGGGCCGAGCTGTGAGACCTAGCTACAAGACCGAGCTACGGGTCCAAGCTATTGGACCTAGCTACGCGTCCTAGCTATGAGACCTAGTCACGAGACCTAACTATGGGACTTAGCTACTTCCTAGTGGCGGTCAACGCTATGGCCGAGCTACCAAGCAAGGTAGTCAAACAGAGCCGAAGTAACTTAGTTGACCGCAATGTTAGCCGAGGTAAAGATGTCAGTCGAGGTAAAGGGGTTAGCCGAGATAAAGGTGTCAGCCGAGGTAAAGGGAGTGGCCATCTCACTTGGCTTGCAGTGATGAGGGTGTTCTAAGGATCAACATTATCCTTGGGCATGAGGCTCCTAGTAGGACTCTGCTAAGGAGAGTTAGAGTCTTATTGGGATTGTGCAAACCATCTCCCTTGGTTGGTAGTGAATAGGGTGTGTGATTCCTAGGAGAACTCTCATAGGAAAAGTTGGAATCCTATTAGGATTATGCCAAGCACAATCTATAAAAGCTCATGGCCAGACCTATGGACATGTATCACAATTTCTACTCTAGAACACACAGAGCTTTTTGTCTATTGTCTATTTGCTGACTTAGGCATTGGAGGGGTTTCCGGCACACACCCGCCGATTAACTCACGTTTGTGTTTTCAGGTAGCAAAGCAACATTGTTTGGAGGAGTGCAAACTTGATCAACAGGATTATACGAGAAGATTATTTCGCGCTTGTGCAATTGGCGCTGTCTGTGGAAATTACACAAAGAGCAAAACCTTTTGATTGAGTTTTCCTCTCTAGTTGAAATCAATGGCGCACAACTAGAGATGGGCAAACCCCGGAAGGGGGTGGGAGGCGCGAAGGTTTACCTTATATCCCACCCATGGCGGAATTAGATCCCCAGCGAAGGAATCCACGGAGAGAAGTGAGAGAAAGACAGGGCTCAAGTCCACCCTGCTCTCAAAGCCCTGATAGACAGAGGCGGAAAATGGATTCTCAGGTTCTCGAAGATCGCGTAAGGGAGCAAGACGAAGTAATGAGAAGAATGGTGGCTGACATAGAGTCTATGAAGAGCCAGATAAAAAGCAAAGAGGTGGCAACAAAAGAGGGGCGCAAAAGCAACACACACTCTTGCCACTCAGAAGATCGTGACAAACAAGTCACACTATCACAGACTGAAAGTAGAAGCCTCAGGTCGGGCGATACACAATCAAAGACTTCCAGGACACGCTACTCCAGGCTTGAGAGAATGAGGACTGAAAGGGCTCGAATGAGAGAAGACACTCAGGCTCGCGATCCCCGCAGAGTCTACACACTACAACGATTAGTTCCTAGAACACATGAGAGTGTTGAGGTAGGAATGCCAGAGTCGCGCATTGCCTATGAACCAGCGGACAAAGTGTTAGCAAGTCTGCAGAGCTTGCCGTTCGTTCCGACAATTGAGAACGCATCATTACCCTGAGGCTTCCATCAGCCTAAATTCACATCTTATGAAGGGAAGTCAGACCC